CCCCATGCAGTGGGTCCTCCACGGGAGCACGTGGCCCCTCTGTAAAGGGTAAGAAATAACCACTGGGTGAATAATTCTTTTTTTTATACTTTTTTAGCATTTGCAAGTTAAACCAAATCTTGATTTGGAGATGAAATTACATACACGCTGTGGGCGGACAGGCATCTCCTTCTGGTTTGTGCAATATTGTTCTCAGCTCCTCTTCTGTGGTCTTGTCCAAGTGCTGCCACACATGCGTATGGGTGCTCCTTTACATTCCCCACCCATGTTATTGCTGCAGGTGCTGTACTGTTGCTTAGTGAATGGTAGCAGATTTTAACAAATTTGCAACAGCAATCTGGACTACTGAAAGGATTATGACTAAACCAATAAATTACTATTGTCTGCTTTCATCACATGACAGATTCCCATAACGTGGTCCAGTATGACTGAAGTTTGTATGCTGATAAAGATTACCGGGTTTACTTACATGTTAGAAACACTATTGTTCCATTAGATTCATAAACAATTGTTAGTCAAAGATGAAACAGAGATAATTACTGTTTTTTTGCACTATTGGAACACAGATGAAATGATTAGAAAAATCCAAAAAGATATGAAGCAATAACGAAGCCTCTCTTAAGCAATGTCAAACATATCTTTCTTGTTTAACAGCATTGTGTATCTCCATCAATAATCTCGCCAATGGTCATATAATTAACTATGCTAATAACGCTCCGTTTAGTCTTTTTATTACTATTATTGCTGTGAACCTACTTAAGAGCAATCCACTGTAATTAGTAATTAATCTGATGATCATGTTGCCCTATGCAAACGTGAGATGGAGCATGTTGATTTAACCACAGCAGCCTCGGTCTCCAAACGTCGCTGCTGCCTGCAGCCCTCACCACCCAAGCTGGGGTCTGCCGGCTCAGAGCTGCCCTTGTGGGGCCAGGGACAAGGGACAGAGCAGCCTTTATGTCGCCTCCTCTGCCTCGCCAGGCTGCTGCTGGCCCCTGAGTTTTGGGAGCACCTCCCGGTGCCAAGGCCATCTTCTTGCATGCACCATAAGGGGGTTAAACTCAAGCTCTGCTGGCTTGGTCAGCACATACTGTGAAACACAGAGCTGAGCATTTAATATGGAAGTATTTCTGCTCCAGTTTGGTGTTTCACATGGAAGCCATTTCTCTCTCCCTTTCTAAACATTGCCTTTGATTCTCTTTTCCTTAAATCCCCAAATTATCCTCATCCATTCACTCTTGTTTACTCTGGCATCTTGTAATGCTAGTGTTTGCCAACATCCCACATCCCACTTTTTTTTTCTTTTAGCTTGGAATAGGAAACAAATGTGATAGTATTTATTGGCAAGTGGTGATATTCTTGTGGCAATCGTTGTGCTGAGCCCTAGCAGAGAGGGAGAGGTGAAGAGAATTGAGAATTCCCACTTGAAAGCAGGTGCCATTTTTTTAAATTATCACTGGGGTTCCTGGAGTAGTAGAACTGCCACTACTTTTTTTTATTTTTTTTTTTTTTGAGAGGGAGTGGGGACATGCACACAGCAGAGGAAACAAAAATTCAGAATATCTGCTAAAGAGATATTACACGCCATGCCTGAAGCACTAGAGCCTTGAAAATCCAGCCTTGCATTGGCTTCATCTTCTTCCTGGCATTCCCTGTTGCAACAATGCAGAATAGGGAACATCAGGTACTGATCTCACCACCTCAGTGTGTGTTGTAATTATTCTGCCTGTTTTATAGCACAGTTGAAGATTCTTGAAATTCTCTATTAGTAAATGTGTCCATGGTGTAGTTTTGGCCCCCCTCTAAGCTGCAGCTAGGGCATTTAGCAAGCAGATGGGAAAGCTGTGAAGAGGCCCATAGACAGCAAGGTCACTCTGAGCCATTATAATGCAGGAAAGTGACAGTAACCTAGAGAGTGAAAAAAGTAGATTTTTTTTTTTTTAATTATTATTATTATTATTTTTACCATAAGTGTAAAAGCTGAAGGTGCAAATCGGGTTTAGGTGAAATAGTGCTATTCAGAACTGGAAGTCATACAAAAAGGCAAAAATATGTTTCCATTCAGCACTTACAGCGTGGAGCCTAAACCTGCCTAATCCCTGCTCCACATAATCACCAAAAATACTTGTCAAAAGTCTGTCTATCGGTACGGAGCTGGAGATAGTTGACACTTTGTAAGCGTCCCTGAATTATCTGTCTTAGCAACATACACCTCTGCTGAGCTGTGCAAATACAGCAAAAGGTAGAGTTCTGGTGAAACCAGTATTTACACACAATCTCAGTGTTGGAAGTAATTAATCTTCAACTGTATGAGGCTCTTTGTGATGTAAAGCAAGTGCTGACACTTTTGTGTAAACATGAAGATTAGCATATTTACAAACTGGTAGATGTTACTTTGATCAGTTGCTGCTTGCACTGGAAAGGCATGCTGGCATGCAGGCTTGCTCTTCATGTGACAAAGACGTCTAATCCTTTTACACTATTCTCAGATCCATATTTAGAATTCTGACTGGTGTTTTCTATATCCACTTGAGCTCACTGTTTAGTTTGTTTAGCAGTGTTCATCCACTCTTTATACTCACTAGTGACTCATTCCCGTTTGTTTTCTTTGCAAGGCAAGCAGTAAAATTCCAAAGTAGTAAATGACCTGGGTGAAAAACCCTTAAACTCCTTTCGATTTAATTACTAAAGCAAATTGGAACCACTTGCAGCCAGGCTTTTTGATGGCCTATATAAAGATCTTCACTGTTTTCCTTCTTGCTTTTAAGTAAGTTAGTGTGAAAATTAGCCAACCCAGCCCCAGCTTCCTCGTAACAGCATTGCATCAAGGCTTGGGTTTCTGTGTACATTTACACTTATCTGGAAGACTTTGAAAGAGGCATTCTAGGTGCTTGTTTTTGTTCCTCTTAATTTAATGGTAAACTGTAAACAATACATAATTCATTTTAGTGCAAATTATAGCTTCACATACTCTAACTGGTTAGTGACAGGGGATCTTGTGGTAACAAGATAATGACCCGAGCAGGTTCGAACAGGCTGGGTCTTATCTTTTCAGAAGGATGAAATAATGTTATGACATTGTCAGCATATTGTCTAACATGCCGGGATGCTAGCAGCTCATTACTTATGTGCAACCCATGCGCCTGAGTAACCGCCCGCAAGATGGGCCCTGCCAGGTGTGCGTGCGCTGACAGGACCGGACAGGCCGGGCGGCCGCCGGCCCACAGGAGGGCTGTGCTGCTCCGGGGGGCCCACACACGCTCGCAGGGAAAGGCTGAGGCCAAAGCTGTGCCGTGGGTGGGAACCGCCGTCGTTCTCAGCGCCGGGGCCTTCGTCTGAACGCTGCCAGACGCGTTCCCGCGGCCTACCCGCGGTTGTTGGAGCCGGGAGGCACCAGCCTGCCTGGTTTGGGAGGCATTCCGGCTTTCCTCTGGCAAGCTGGAGCTCTGCCTTCGTCCCCAGGCACACCTCTTAGCTTGTCAAAGGGGAGGAAACTCCTCCTCACCAACCCACTGTCTTCTAGAAGGTGTGAAGTTAAGCCCGGAGTCTTTAGGCACTAACTAACCTTGACCTGGCTGCTGTCCACAGACTAAAACCTCTCACCTGATTTTAGGGCTCTGACTCAGTTTCCATTTGGCAACAGCTCCCGGTGATAAATGCGTGGTTCGGAGACGCAGCTGCCACCCAGCTGTTTGCCCTAATGGCACAACTGGAAAGACTGCTCGGCATTTTACCAGTGCTATGCCGGGCTGTGCAGAGATGCTGAGGGCATCCCCTTCCACCCTGCAGTACTGAGGCTGGAGGAGGTGCAGGAGGCACCTGATGGTGGCAACAATTAATGGTAGGTTAACTGCAAACCTCAGAGGCTGTTGCTGGTCTTATCCAGAGCTGTACCCTACATGTACAAAACGAAAAGACAAATATGCCTCAGCCATCTCTAGTGCCTTTCAAGTGGATCATGGATGTGTAACTTCACCTACTGAAGGACCCCAGCAGCCTTCCAGCCATGCAGGACATCTGTGCTCATAGGGTTGGTCCAAGCCTCTTTGGTAGGATAGTAGATACTGAACTGTGTTAAGAGCGAGCCATTGAGAATATTTCATGGGAAAGGCATAGACTGATGCCTTGTATCATACCTCATTTTTTCCCTGGTGCAGCACTGAGGGCAAAGTTAGCATTTTTTCCTTGAATTGTCGCAGTCAGTAGGCTGCAGTTACACAAGTTTAGAGCAAGCTGGGTTGTGTGGAGCTTCGTCCCCCTTTGTATCTAGCATACAAACAATAAAGACAGGATCTGTGTTTTGACTTCTTGTTAAGCAAAGTAAACAGGTGAAGTGCTCTGAAAAGAAAACTGATATACTTGCATTACTCACAAAGCGTCACATCTATGTTAGATCTATTACTGATTAAAACTCTTGTTAAACCGAGGATCAAAAAGAAAGCTCGACACCTCATTTAGCTCTTTTCATGACTGGATTAGCCTAAGTAGAACAACTTGTCTATACGGGAACAGTACAGGCACTTAATTTTTAAAATATTTTCCTATCTGGGAAGAGAAGCTGTAAATAGAATATATATGTGTAAGGAGGTGGAATACATTTCGTTTCATTGTGGTAATGAAAAATTATTGGGTGGAATCCTGACCTCACCAAAATCAATACGATTTCTTCCATGTGTTTCAGTGAAGCCAGGATCTTGCCTACTGTATTTCGTATTGATCCTTCAAGGGGAAAAGAATCACTTCTGTGGGCTATATTGTTACTTATTTAAAATGGAGTAGCTGGTTGCATATTGATGAAGCAAAACAGTGTATTAACTGAAACCTTCCTAAGTATATGTTAATCTCTGTGGTTTACTAACAGCTTGCAATATGTTTGGTTTGATTTTAACTTAATAAACAGATTAGAAGACATGCAGTTAATATGCTAAATAAAAATGGGATTTTGGTAGTTCTATTCAATTCTGCCCAATGCCATTACTTGTGTCTTCATTTTTTTCCAGGTTGCTGCTGTTAAGCACTTCCGCAACTTAGACACACAAAGAAATGGGAACCCTTTGCAGCCAGTAGTGGAACATGAGCGTGGACCCTTCAGGCTTTGTCTGATTTCTTCCTGTTTCTCTGACATGTTGCTAAATCATGGCAATGGAAGAGCTCATCTCCAGGCTGCCAAACCCATGCTGCCTTCCAGGTTAGACCTAAACAGACATCAACATACTTAGAGCTGCTCACTTTAGTCAGCAAGGCAGGATCCCATTCTTGGGATTATAGCCTGACTATGGATTGGGAGTATGGGAGAAATTTCTAAAGGGGCTGCAAAAAGGGAATAGTCTTAAGGCTACAGCAAAGCTGTGAAGCTGCAATGGTCCTGAATTGTAGGATTTGGGGTTGGCAAGCTGATTATTCAGCTCTGCAGCACTCAGACCCCAACCGTGAACGTCATAGGAACTTTGATGTTTTTAATGTTGTCCATGGCTGTGCTGTAGTAGGCAGGACTGACCCTTTTATGCTCTCACAGGTCTTTTTTTTTTCTGACAGTTTTATGGGCATAAATAGATAAAAATCTTCATTTTAGGAAAAGCATATATTTAGGAATTTTAGGATACTAATTTCATGTTGCCCTAGAGCATTTTCTGCAAATGTTAGCATGCACATACTATTTCTGGTGATTAAAGCAGAGTATTTTGACTTTAAAGTGGCATCTTCTGAATAAATCTGTCTCCAAATGATTTATGCATCCCATTAGGATTTAGTGCTGGTAGTTGTTCTGGGAATCTTGATCTGGTCTTTCAAGAGTCGCCTTAGCTTTATCAGTCCATTTACATGTGGTCATATTTCAACCTCCAGGAGCTTTAAAATGTTTAGTACACAGAACACAAATTTAGGCCTGTGTTTGTTTTTATTGGTGGAACCTCTTTCCTTTCTTCAACATTCTCAAATGTTCCCTGGTTTAAGTAGAGTTATCTAAGGTAATCCACTCTTGCCCTTACCAGGGATATTCCACTTTGTTCATAAGCACATAACATAACTCTAGTCCCCAGTGATTTCATTGTGAAATTAAAACCCAGACACTCATCCAGATGTCTTAGAAGATAAGGGCAGGCCTAATCCGTATGTCACAGAGGACTTGAGGAGCAGGAATTCACCTATACATCATCACGTTGTTATTAGCCCGGACCATGGCAAGCCCAACACAAACATTTTCCACAGGGCTTGCATTCAGGCTTGGCAGTGTTAAGAAAATACCCTCCAGCGATGTGTTATTTTAGGCTGAAATAAAAGTAGACATGAATGGCAAGAGGAACAGAGAAGTATTGTTTTTATTTTCAATGTGAACCCATAACTCGTGTTAAATGAAAATCTAACCAACTAAGATGTAAATACCATCGTGTTCAAATGAGCTATCAAATATCAACACATTTATTTTGTGATGGAGTACTGATGCTTGTCTTAGGCGGTGTAATGCACTGTGGGAAGGGCAATTTAGATAGGAGAAGCCAAAAGCTTTATCTGATTAAAACTGATATGATGATTGATTTTGACAGAGGGAAATCACTTCCATTGCAAAAAAGAAGGCAACAAAAACATCGTGCATTTATCATTAATATGAGTGGTGGCACAAAAATTAGAACCAAAATGCAGGCCTGTGAAGGACAATTTTTGCCTCTGTTTTTACAGTTCTGCCACAGAAGTCCCCCCCAAGGCTGCCATCTTGTTTGTATTAAATAGTTATTTTACAAAATCCCTGGAAAACCCTTAGGGTAGGGACTGGAACCCACCTCTCTGGGAGGTGACCTAACCTGCACAGCAGCCCATTTCTGTCTGATCCTGCCTCCTCATTCTGCTTCTCCATCTTGCCCTGGGAGCATTCCCAAAAGTGAGGGGAGAGATGCTCCAGGATAATGATGAGGCCGAGTTTGTGATTAAAGCATTAAACTGGGAGTTAGCTGTTTTGGATTCAGCTCCTGCCTGTGCCACAGATGTTCTGCGTGGCCATGGCATGCTCTGTTCTTGACAAAATTCATCCCTGTGCCGAGAGCCAGCTAGAGGCTTGGATGCCATCTGATGCTGAGAGACACACGAGGCTTACGCACTGGTTGAACATTATACAAGTGTATTACAAGTATATTTAGAAGACTTTACTGGATGTAAGCATTGTGATATCCTTCAGCAAGAGGGCTGAACCTCTTTTGCATAGTCAGTGCCGCAGCGTTTCCTCCCACTAAGCAGGAAAACTGCAGGGTTAATCACGTTAACATTTTTGAAATACTGCTGTAATGTGAGGGATGAGAAATGTGTGTCCATTAGAAGGAAAGCCTACAGGTTGCAAATGCACTGCCCAGAGCTTATGCACTTACTACACTCACAAGCATGAAAAAGTGCCCTGGAAAAATCCTAAAAAAAATAAAATATATATATTAAAACAAATATCAGTTGGAAATTCATGTAAAACTATTTTTGAAAATCACGACTAGAGGAAAGGGATCCAGAGAAAAATGGCAGAACAGAGAAACACTTTTTAAAATGGAATATGGGTTTGATTTTTCATTTTGGGAAGCAATCCAGGCTACCCTAACAGAAAGCAGAGACACATTTCAGCTGGGGTTTCTTTGTGCACAATGCAATGGCAAAGCAGTTCAAGACCAGTTCATCTGTGTGAAAATATGACCCTGTATGAGTCTGGAGGTCAATGAAACCACTGTTGATCTGCTCAGGGCATGCTGGTCACTGCTTTAGGGTCACTTTGATTTATGTGCTTAGCTTTTCCACTTCCAGAAGTGTAAAATGTGGGTGACTCTCTTTTCATTGACTCTCATTTGTTGTCACAGGCATGCATTTTCCTCAGAAATATGTACTATATGAAAAAGTCTGATAAGTTTAATGCAGTGATATAAGGTGACGTTTTTATGGAGGGTGAGCATATGCTCAGTCACAATTATAAAAGAACCTGAAAACCGTGGCTTTTTCTGGTTTCTTTTAAGCCATGTAGGAGCTTGCCATCTCCCTCCGGAACTTAAATGCCCCCTTATTGTGGTTTGAGTGTTTCACAGTTTTCATGGATTTACTCTTGCCATGCTCATGTGAAGGATGGAGTTAGTGGTATCACAGTTGTAAGGATGAGGGAGTTGAGGGAGAGGCAGACCCAGCAATAAGCTGAAAGAAATTCGTAGCAGAACAGAAATTTAATAATTATTTATTGCTCTAACTTCTCCTATTCAACTTCAAAAGTAAAATGTCAGGAAACTTCAAATTTCCTTCAGTGCTGAGACATCTTGGGAGCATTACCATAGCGGGTCACAGCTACACAGAGGATCTGGGGCTTGATCTTGAATACCTCCAGAGGCTTGGCAGGGACTGTAAGGCCTTCACAGTGCAGCTGTGGACACCAGCTCTGGAATGGTTAGTGCCTCACGAGTATTTCATTGGCATGAACTGATACCAAATAACTTCTTCCAACTGTGCAGCTCACCGTGGTGGGAGAGATGGAAATGCAGAGCTCTGCTGGAGCATCAGGAGGCACAGAGCAACCTGCCCCTGACAGGAGGGAGAGGAGTCAAAACGTTGTCTCAGTTGACACCAAACATTTTATTCACTCGATCAGTTCCTGTCATCCTGTCATTAATTTCAGTGAAATTAACACAGGGGGAGTATGAGTCAATATAGCTGGATTTTCTTTTCCTGGTTTCCTGCCATACTGCAAGCCTCAACACTTCTGTCTTCTCTGTCACTTGTCACTCAATTTGTGAAAACGGATTTTCCCTATAATAATTGCTACTCTAATAACTTCTACCAATTGAGACTCCTTAATTTCTCCTATAGGACTCTTTAACCCCTTTAAGCATCCAAAAAACCTGCTAATGAAGGTCACTGCCACCTGCTCTGTATGTGACTGCAGGAGCTAGGACCAGACAAGTCACTTGGAGCCCAAGACCTGCTGCTTGCTCAGTGTGTTGGAAAGTACATTCTGATCAACACTTACAAAATTTTGCCTTGCTCTTTCTTTTCCCTATAATTTAAGGGTCTGAATTTTCCCTGTGCCTTGTCTTGTTTCTTCTCGTAAGTGTTAGTTCAGCTAATTTTGTGGCTACAAGGGAGAATATGTGTTATCTGGGGAGGATGGGAAGAATAGTGACAAACAGTGTGGAAGTGTAACATATTTCTCTGGTAGTGATACCTTCAGAAGAGCTCATCTGTCCAGGTTGTATCTGTAGAAGTGTTCAGAAGGCATCAACGAGTGGTTGAGAAAATACGAAAAGTCACTTTGTATGGATATAAACACACCAATTTCACTGCCATTTAAATATCAATTTAAAATCACATAACTTACATCTAAGTGGACAAACAGCACATTTATGACTGCTCCATAGCTTCAGTGTCTCATGTCCTGCACCATTGGTTAGGGAATTTTGCAAAAACCCAAAGCATTGCCTTCTGTAAGCTCCACAAACAAAGCACGGAGCTGGAGATGCCACAATTATTAAATGTTCAACATGCTTCTCAGTGCTTGTTCCTTAGAATAACTGCTTCACAAACCTCCTGCAAGACATCCTTAAGGCTGTTTAATACCCTCTTAGTTGTCATTTCAGTCAGCACTCAGCACTCTGAAGAGCTGCTGAACTAAACCATATTAGCAGGTCTTTACAATTATTTGTAAATGTTGGGATACTCGGAGGATTATTGCACTGGTACATTGCCTTTGGTGCCTGAGGGGAGCACGAATTATATCTTATCTGCAGGAAGAGCTCTGAGGAGCCAGACCATCTTATGAGATGAGGTGCTCAGCCCACTTCCAATCCCATCCCTGGGATTGTCAGGGTACAATTTCTATCAGCGAGCAGAATGGACATATCCCCGAACATTAGAGTTTCACATGAATCTAATGCATGGGAAATGGATTTTTTTTTCTTAAACAGATAAAAATATCTTCTCATCTGAACTCTCAAACTGATGACATTTCAGAATTCCATTTGGAGAGACAGAAAAACAGATGATCTGTGTTTTTTAAAACTCCTTCTGATAGCTGGTGCTTCTCGCCCATCCAGTTCATTGAAATATTACTGACACAAAGCATTTCAAATTTCTGACTGTGTATCCAACTTCAGTAAGGTTTGCCTATAATTGTCTGTATTTAACTAAGGAAAACCACCATTTTCTGAAACCTTTTAGGCTAGGGTCGCCAGGACTGGAACC